CTGAGGCAGCTCAGAAGGACAAAGGTACTTGCCCCATGTCCCACAGTGATTCAGGGATAGAGTTGGAATTTGCCCCCAGGCTTGTCTGATCCCAGAGCCCAGGTTCTGGGCTCTGTAATCAGAGCCTTCCACCACCTTAGCCCTACCAGGGCAGTTAGGAGCAATGTTTCTGCATTTTTTTTTTTAACTTTTTATTGTTGTTTGGGTCAAAGTTTACAAGGCAAATTAGTTTCCCAGTCAGCAATTTACACACATTTTGTTTCACGACGTTGGTTGCAGTCCCTTCGATGTAACAGCACTGGTTCCTCTCCCTCCCTGGGTTCCCCTTTCCTTTTGCCCATCTTTCCATCCCCTTCCTGCTTCTGAATCTGGAATGTTCTTGAGCATAGTTGACCTTCCTACTCCGTGAGGAAATGGGCTCAGAGAGAGGAAGGGTCTCCCCTGAGGCAGCACAGCCCAAGATAGGGGCAGAGACTGCATGGGGACCCTGGCCTTGCCCTCGACTTGGACATCGAGGCCAGACACCTAGGCCCCTGCCTGCCACCTTTGGCCCCCTCATCTCCTCTGTCCAGTCTGTCCTCTGTCACCACTCCCTCACTCATTCCTTCAGTAGAAACATCCTGAGAAACAGGTGGCCCAGGACAATCTCCGGAGCCAGGCGCCCATGGGAGGTTGCACCAGGGGCTGGGGAGGGGAGATGGGGTGGGTGTGGAGGCCCCGGGAAGGCTCCAGGTTCTGGGCTCAGATGGGTCTGGATTCGAGCAGCAGCTCCATCCCTGAGCCCCTGTGGGACCTGCAGCTAGTGTCTCTGCGCCCCTGAGCCTTATTTCCTCATCTGGAGAATGGGGGTGACTGCTTCATGGGTCTGGGCTTTCCTTGAGGGCCGTGAGAATGTTCTGGAACCAGAGAGCAGGGAGGGCTGGACAGCTTTGGAACGTATTGACTGCCACAGGATCACTTACCTTACAGTGATGAGCTCTATATTTTACTACTAAGATAGAGAAACAGCCCTTACTGATCTTTGCTGTAAGGAGCTCTGGTGGTGCAGTGCCTAAGGCATCTGACTGCCAACCCACCAGCCACTACGCGGAAGCAAGACTGGCAATCTACTTCCGTAAAGATTTACCACCTTGGAAACCCAATGGGGGTCACTATGAGTCAGAATGGACTCAATGGCAGTGAGTTTGGGGTTTTTGGTGACTTTTTGCCATGAGCCCAGCCCAGTGCATGTAGTGGGACACAGTGTGGCCAAGGCAGACCCTGTTTGTGTCCGCCAGGGGGCACAACTTCCTGAGTCCTGCTCATTCCATCTCCTGAGTCTCTCTCCAGCCTGCTCTCCTCTGTTTCCTTCCCTCCCCACTGTCTGTACTGTGGGCCAAGCCCCACTCACTCCCCTGCCCCAATCTCCCTGCCTACCTCACCTCCAGCCTCTAGTTTTGCCCCCTCCAGCCCACCTTTGAAGATCCTTAAAGCGTGAACTTCACCATGCCTCTACCCTGCTCCTGACCCTTCCATGGCTGCCCAGTGCCCCTCACCACAGCCTGGGGGTCTGGCAGCTGCCCATCTCACTAGTCTCAAACTGCCTCCTCCTCCTCTTTTCTCCAGGCTCCTCTGGGTTTCAGCATCTGCTTGTTCCTCTACTTGGAAGCCTGTTCTCCCTGCTTCATTACTGCTTCAAGAACCAGCTCCAATGCCTCCTCCTCCAGGAAGCCCTCCCTGATCCCCAGCCTAGCTTAGGCGCCCCACTCTGAGTTATCTCTGTCTGGGGACAGGTCTGTGCCCTTACTGGACTGTGAGTTCCAGGAGGGCAGGGCCAAAGCTGTCTCAGTCATCACTGTGTCCCTAGCACCCAGCCCAGGTCAGGCACTCAAGGAATGGGTGCAAAACAGGAAACAGGGGAAGGAAGACAGCAAGACAGTTCACTCCTTGGGTGGGGAGGAGGAGTGGTGAGTCAAGCTGGAGAAATCAACAAGGAGCAAGGGTTACAGAGCCTTGAATGCTGAGACCAGGGACCTCAGCTTTCTCCCGAGGGCACTGGGGAGCCATAGAAGGTGGCTTTTAAAAACCACTAAGTGCAATCATACTGCAGTATCCACAGGGGATTGGTCCAACACCAAAATCCACGGATGCTTCTCCTGCAGACTGAAATCATCTCTCGACTACTCCTAACACCTAACATCATGTCCGTGCTGTGTCACAGCATTTCACCTTCCTCTTACTTAGCCTTTGAGGGGTTGCTCTCGCCACTTCATTGGTTTCTATCTCCCTCTCATATTATCGAGTCGTGTTTAGCTGAATCCGCCGATATGGAACCCCCAGATACGGAGGGCCAGCTGCAGTCCAAACATTCAGAAAAGTACAGAAAACAAACTTACTGAGAACCTCTGTACCCACATGCCAGGTACAGCAACTGTAACACTTGCTGTGTTTGCTTCAGGTGGGTGTTTTTTGGTTTTGTTTTAATTTTAAGAACCAAAGCTTCATAACTACACTGCATTTGCCCCCACTCACTGTAGCCAACCTCAGGATAAATGGGAGAACAGAGTGAAGTTGTCAGGGATTTCATTTTACTGGGCTTCACAATCAACACCATGGAAGCAGCAGTCAGGGAATGAGAGGACGTATTGCACTGGGCAACTCTGATGCAAAAGACCTCTTTAAAGTGTTAAGGAGCAAAGATGGCACTTTGAAGACTAAGGTAACACAGCACCTAACACAAGTTGTGTTGTTTTCAATCGCCTCATATGCATGTGAAAGCCGGACAATGAACAAGGAAGACTGAAGAAGAGTTGATGCTTTTGAGTTTTGGTGTTGGTGAAGAATGCTCAAAGTACCAAGGACTGCCAGGAGAAAGAACAAATCTGTCCTGGAGGAAGTGCAGCCGGAATGCTCTCGGAAGCGAGAATGGCCAGACTTTGTCTCCCCTACTTTGGTCATGTTGTCAGAAGGGAGCATTCCCTGGAGAAGGATGTCATGCTTGGTAGGGTGGAGGGTCAACGAAGAAGGGGAGGGCCCTCAACGAGATGGACTGACACCGTGGCTGCGATGATGGGCGCAGGTATAGCAGGGATTGTGAGGCCTGCACAGGACCGGGCAGTGTTTCCTTCTGTTGTACACGGGGTCGCTATGAGTTAGACCTGACTCGATGGAGCCTAACAACAATCTTTTACCCACTGGGCCACAAGAGCTCCTTCCAAGGAGACCAACCTCTGGAATGTACCACCCACTAGTCTTAACCAATTTTTATCCCATGGCTACATAGACTTGTACCAAAAATAATATACTGCTTTCCATGGTTTCAAACATCCTCTCATGCTGTTTGTATCCTGTCTGGGTTCCCCTGATTCCTTTTGCCCATTTTTCCATCCTGCGATGTGTTGTTGTTTTTAGCATATGAGGACCTCTGGTGGTGCAGTGGTTAAGGCATTCGGTGGTTTTAACCCACCAGCCACCCCATGGGAAAAAAACGAGGCAGTCAGGCTCCTGAAGTATTGACAGCCTTGGAAACCCTGTGGTGCAGTTCCACTCTGTCCTCTAGGGGCGCTGTGAGTCAGAATCAACTACACAGCAGTGGGTTTGGTTAGGGCTTTGCTTCCACAAAGATTGACGACAGCTTTGGAAACGCTGTGGGGCAGTTCCACTAGGTCCTCTGGGGGTGTTGTCAGTCGGAATTGACTTGAGGCAGTGGATTTTTTTTTTTTTTTTCAGTTCACTATGCTTATCAAATATACTCATATCTGTTAAGGTAGCTCTAGCTCATTTATTTTAAGGGCTGCATACTATTCCATTGTATAGACCTGACAAACTTGTGTAAATAAAGGGTCCTGGATGTTCACATGTGGTCACCATTGCTCAACCTGTTGGCTGTTGTTAACCCAGACGGTACAGAGCAGGTGAGGAGTGGAGTCAGGACTGGGCAGCAGAGTGTGGTTGGATGGGCGGCCTGGGAGGGGCTTGTGTTGAAGGAGCCCGGAGTTGCCTGGGCTGGGGGCTAGAGCATCT